TGAAGTATACTAGAAACCTAACTATTAACTGCAAACTTATCAAATCACTTAGGTAACAAAACTGAAGTAGAATGACACATACAGAATATCCAGGACTCCAGCCACAATCTAGACACCAGCTCCTAATTAGATAATTATCACAGAAGTTCTGGCCATAACACACTTTCATGAGCAACCTCTGTTTTGACTTTCTGTTCCCTCCAAAGATACACTAGGAGTCTCAAATATTTGCAGTTAATATCTCTTTTGGAAGCATATTTCTGTATCAATCATTTACCTTTATTCTATATTCCTGAAATGTCAGGTGGTCTGCTCTATAGTAAATCAGTAAATTATTATTTTTTTTTAATTTAATGTTTAACTAACATATTCAGCCCCAACCATTATCAAACTGAATTCCTGCCCATTAAATACTGCCCCATATTCTGATACTGGGTTTTTCATACACTATTCCTAATTTATTTTGTGACTACATTTACAGAGATGTTYGGTACTTGCAACATCCCCACATAATAAGCTTAGGACAAGCATGAGAAAAGGGGGGTTTTGGCTAAGCATCAGCATTGGATGGTTAAGCAAAAAAAAAGTTCAGCAAAAACCTCAGTAATACAGWGCCAGCATGCACCTTGAAAAATAATCTTTAGGCAAGGCAAAAAAGGTAAAGTGAAAATTGAGAAAGAAAACGAAACAAATTCCATGGTAACTGCAGTTAACTGCAGTTACTCAAGTGCATGATAGGCAGCATGGGAGAAAACACGAATGCAACTATTTGACAGCTTGGCAACAGAGCAATGAAAACTTGTGTCACTGTTAAAGCTGAGGGGGAAAACACTTGGGATGTCCTTAGGCCTGAAAAGTCCTTGGCAACAAATGGTTTGATAKCTAATATATAGGATCCACGGGAAAGATGCAAGGAGAGAAATGGCACAGTCAAAGCAACAATCCGGAAAAATCAGTTGTGCRGCTCTAATTGGGCTGGCACAAGTCGGCAAGGCTGCTTTGCTCTAGGCAAAAGAAGCTGATGATGCAGCACTGAGGGCAAGCATAAAATTTTTTACCTGCAAGGGTGAAAAGCTGTAGMTGAATTTAAGAAGCAAAAAGCAAGCAACATTTCGAGAAAATTCAAGTATAAGAGACTGAAGAAAAAGCTGTGCTGAAAAGTGCCCAGTGAAACACAGTCCTGCAGAACATAATACTCACCCACTGRGACAAGAAGATGAAAAATAAGGGTTCTTTTTAGTTAAATAGTACACATGATGATAGACAGGTGAGAGCAAGGGAGCAACTGTAAAGGCAAATAGCTATTTTCCTTGTAAATAATAGGAGAGAGGCAGAAAGGGAGGTTTGAGAGAGCCAAATGTAGGCAGACAGTCTTGTTCCTTTGCACATATGCAGTCGTATTTCTAAACGGAGTGAAAACACTTGTATGCATACAGCACAATGTAGCTCATGTCTTGCAGTGTGGTCTAGGGGCTCCAATCATTGTCTCAATTATTTTTAACTTGAAGTAATGSACAGCTACTTCCATTCACATCATCCTTCATGACCATCTGGTTTAAACGACTGTAATTTGCTAGCATTTAAAAATCTCTATCAGCAAYTTCACATTAAAAAGGCAAACTTTTTAACATTTCATTTTCATAGTGATAAAAGTGATATTCAAGAGAGTCAGCTTTCCATATTAGCCACTACTATGAGAAGTGATGGATAATTCTGTTGTTCACACACATCTCACTTTATCTTAGTTCTGAGTACTGTTACACGTCACGTGTTTTTTCCTCTTAAAGAACTTACTTAGACTGATTTAGTGATCTGATCTTTTTTTTCCTTAAAGTGGCTCACCTAATTCTCTCTATGCCAACTTTTACATTCCAGGTTTACATTCTTTTCATTGATCTTGCAGGACTGCATATTTCAGACCATTCAGGTCTTCTGCTGTGCTGCTTCACATTTTTCTTTCTTTTTGCCTCTCTTACACATTGGAAAAGAATAACTACCTAGGCAGAAACAGCAGGTAAACATAGTTTCTCTCAGCCATCTGAGACATAGTTAACTAGTCTAAGAGTGTAAAGATTTAAATTTGTTAACTCGTGAGATCACTGTTGGAGCATTAGAATGAGCAGAGTTGATACAGCGATATCCATTTCTTCAAATTGCATCACTATCAACACTTTTCATTTGGAAAAAATCTCTTGGACGGCACAGGCTAAAAACGTTAAACTGCTCAAACTCATGTCCTCAATTTCAGTGATCGCTCTCCAAAGCCATTTTTGGWGAAACGGTGCCCTCTTGTAGCAGAAATTGGTCACTGCAAGAACAGCGGCTTTGTAAACACTTAATTGGCAATCCCAAGTAGTTCATCTCAAGAGTTTGTTTCAGATCATTRTTTACAACAGTACAAAATTGGCACGTTTAAAGAGTTATTTTGAAAGATTTTTTTCTTCCCCCTAAATCCCATTTACAAACAGCATTGCTCTTAGCCGGAATATAAACTATTTTCAGCACCTCACAAGCTAGTTAAGGCTGCTTTTAGGGGAAGTGGTGACCCCCTTTGYAGGTTTGATACGTATTCCCAGTATTTAGGAGGTCAGGCTAGCCAACCACTCACACCTTTCACCTTCAAAACAAGAACTGACAATTATGCAATTTTCTGCTGAGCAAGTTGTTTAGGATAAAGAACAATTTCTCAGATGCTATTTTACTTCTCATCACCTGCACAAATCTCACACTCCTTCAGCAAGACTTTCTGGCTCCTCACTCCCAATTCCTCAGCAGAGGCAGCTCACACTGCCTGCCAACAAGAAAATGAATACAAACAGGGGCAAAGACACAGGTACAAAGCTTTTTCAGCTTCACATGACATCTGGGTGATGCCAGAAAATGAGCATCCACAGCAGCTCACTGAGCGCTGCAGAGCACAACTGCACAGCAACGCTGCCCTTGCCATGGGGGTCTCTGCTCTGCCCCAGGGACTTCCCATCCCYTAAACATCTGTGGTTCATTTTCTCCCAGAACTGAACAAAAATGGATACAGAGAGCCATGTGACTCATGCTTCTCCAGCCACACAAGAAAACTGTGTAAAAGCTTTTTATAGTAYTTTGTATAATAATGCCGATTTTTTACCTAATATTTATTCTTCATTAGGATCATTAATCGGTACCATTCTGCCACTGTGGTGTTAAATGTGAACTGATTGTGACAAGCGTTTTGAAGAAGCCTTTTTACTGTTCAAATATGCATTTTTACAAACATTCAATTTCTCCATTTTGTTTTTTCTTTTGCTTCCAGGAAACTGTTTATTCTTTCGTCATCTGGCTCTAGGGAGGAGAGGGTGCCAGGGGTGCTTTCAGGTTTGGTTTTGTCTGATCTACTTCCTAATCCTCGCTTTCTACTAAARAAGTTTTTATTTTCTTAAGCTAGTAAGATAATATCCATATGCATTGTGGGGAAAGAAGGAATAATTTTACCTTCACTCATGAGCATGATCTCTAATCTTTGGTCTGTTGTTTGGTATTGAGTAATTTTCTCTTGCATCCTCAGCAACATTTTTGAGTCCAGCCACAAAASAACATTGGATGATACAGACAGATGATCAGGACAAAAGACAGGTTTCACATCCTCCTGAGAAACCCCCAAACCCCAGTTTCTTGCCACAGTTTCTACAAGGGGATTTCACACTGAATCAGATCCTCCCTGAGGACATTCCTTTTTTAAATGACCAATTAGGAGCAGAGGAAGACAATTTTAGCCTTCCTTGGCTTCTTGGATGAGAGAGATGATGGTACATCTATGGCAGCTAAAGCAGCACACAATCATAAAAATTGCCTAAGCAAAGGTATGAGCTTTTGACTTTTGTTGTTAGCTTGCAAAAATACACCAAAAGAACACATCACTGGAAATCTAACATCACTGCACCATTTCCAAAAAGCTGTAAAAACTCTCTTTCAAAGGGCAGTGGTGTTGACAACCTGAGTGTCTCAGAGATGTGTTTGATCCTACATCACTGTAGCATAAGAGCTATTATATAAAACTGAATAGGAAGATCCCCTTTATTTATACATCTCTTTAGCAAATCTAGATAGGGATAAGAAACTTGGACATTTTCCTTTCTATGGAAAGCTGTACAAACTGAGCCCTCCTTTTTTCAGTGAGCATGTTTAATAGAATATTTCAAACTAATAATAACTATGAAGCTTGTGTTAGTGATTCCCATAAGCTAAGGAGTGAATTCCATTGCTGTAGAGGTTCAATGTCAACAACTTCATTATTTCTTTCACTGGAGTGCACATTCATAAATATAAATTACACTAATCTTAAAATATTTATTTCTCTAACTAAAGGAAAGCACTTGTCAGTCTGTTCCTTCTACTATTGTTTCACAAAAGAGGTTTCACAAGTACTCTCCCACAGTAATTCAATCTGTCTTTGCTTTTCCAGTCCTCAGGACTCTCCAAGGGCTCTTAGAAGAAATCCTTCCCTCTCTTTACCACATGCTCACTGAAAGCATTCCAAAATGCCACCAGTTTCAAAAGGGACCACTCAGACCATYCAAATGAGCCTCTTTGCAGACAACTCCTCTAATCCAACTCCTGATCTGAATCTCATCTCACTCATACCAGACAATGAAATACCAGACAAGAAGTAACTATCACAATAACAATAAAATATTGTCACAGGGTAGCCCATTGCATTTAACCGCAGAAATAGCTGTACTGGATTTTGCTCAAGTTCTCTCTCCCTGTATTTTTGTCCCAAGCAAACCAGTAACACATGTCAACAAGAAACTCTTCCCAGGAAGCATGCCAACCTTTTCACAATGCCGCACCCTGCAAAAAAAATATTTTTCATATCTGAAGCTGAGCCTGGATCACATTTTGGAAGCCTGAGACTGCTCCTCCCCTCTTTATTAGTGTTAGTTACTTGTGAAGTCACTGCTTCACACTATAGTTTTACCAATCACAGAAAAGCACAAACTTCCAGAGGTGGGAATAAAACTCACCATGCTGTTCATTTTGGAAGAGGATGAGCTTGCTCTCTGCTTCCTTAGGCTGTTCAGCTCTTCTGCATTTCCATCCTTTGGTTTGATGATCAGCCGGCTGCCCCCAGCAGTACCTTCCGAAGAGGACCTCAGTCTTTTCTCAACAAATCTGCCTTCCCGGAACGGGCTGAGGCTATTGGCAACATCRACTACAAAGGGAGAAGCAATCAGCAACCATTGCAGGGAACACTGCACTCTACAAATATTTTCTTAATCACAATAGTGTTTTGCTTGAAATACTTACACTGAAAGGGAATCACATCAGAAATGTTCTGTAGAAGGCAGACCATGCTTACCTAGACAAAAATGTCACCTGGGCCCCCAGYTCATGCTCAGCCCCAATGACTGGCATGCTCAGCACACCACAGCCCAGTCCAGGGCCCTCAAAGAATGCAGAGGGACCTTTGCTCCATCCTTTTCTTTTTCCCCTCATCATACGACATTTCCAAATTGTTGTCCCATAAAACCTACCAAAGAGACTATCACTTGTCCATTGGTGCCAAAACCCAACCTGCCTTACCCTCTGCCCAAAGGCAATTCCAGCTCTTGAAGGGCCAGCTCACAACTTTGTTATCCCTGCATAGGACAGGGATGCACATTGGTTTCCATTTTATCAGCAGCCCTAGTTTAGCCTTGCACCTGCACCCTCCAAATTCAGCCTGTGTCACCAGGCAAAATCCCAGACCAGTTAAAACAATAACAAATCAGAAAAGAGGAGGAAAAAAAACGTTTTGACATGTTAGTGCAAATTTAGAGATGGGGAAAGGTAAGAGCATAATAAATACATACAGAAAACCTTATCTTTTTCATTTTGTAAGAGAAGAGATATTTTCTCTAAGGGTTCTTAAAAAAATCCATATCACATAAAAATACATAAAGGTATACTAAGAAATATATGGCATATCAAACCTGCTCATACATTAATGTSACATTCACAATGCTATCTATAATGATATCAGCTGCGGTACCAGGTACAGAAGAGAAAATATCTATTACCAAAGAAAATGAACAGAAATATTTTGCATTCACATCTAGGTTTAAATATTGTTTTAGAAAGCCTAATGTTCAAACCAGTCTGTTTGCAATTAACCACTTACAACCATATCTTACTGAATGCCTTGTAAGCTTTTTCTGTATTTGCTTAATTTCATACAGCAGGATTTTATCTTTTTTTTCAATGGATCCTTTAATTGCTTGGCCAATTTCTAATTTGAAATACATTCTTCATCACACAAGTAAGAAAAAAAAATTATTTTGAACAGCACTAAAAACCATAACAATTAATCATCAACTTTTATACAGCACATATTAGCTCTAGTGTTTCTGTGAACATRAATCCAATTCACAAAAATCCCTCTATCACAATTTCAACTCCCATTAGCTGCTTTCTTGGAATACAGATTAAATATCCAATTGCCAATGCATGAGTTTGAGATGCAGTGGGCATTTCTAAACATCCCTCCAAGCTGCTCACTTGCTGTTCTGCAGTACACTCTAGCAAGGCGGATTCTGAAATAAGAACTCATTCACAGATGAAACAATGCAGCAAAGAAGACAAACTGAGTGCCCAGGACCAGTAATATACATAAATGGGAAAAATTTTTTTTCCCCAAAATGACTAAGGCTCTGAGGGAAAGAGGCACCCTCTGGTGAAAGCTAATTCAGTGGTTTAATTTTACTTTATATTGCCATTCATGTACAAGATATCCAACCAAACCTTGCAGGGACTAATAATTCAAAAAGCAAGATTGCTTCTGATTGCTTATACTCTACATGCCTAGATAAATATCCAAAGCAAAATGACGGGTGTGAATTTATTTGAGTTTACTTACAGTCRTTCATCTTCTAATACAACCACTACAAATGCTGTCTTGTTAACKCTCACAAATTTTGGCCCACCAGCTACAGCCTCAGGATTATGCACAAAAGCATTAAGTGGGATGGAGAAAATAAACTGTCAGAGATAAATGGCTTYTGACAGGTGTCCTTCACTCAAGAGCCTGAACCTTATTTATTYTGCATCTCTACAGATTTGGGATTTCTAGGCACAGTCTTTCCACTTAATCTTGTTAGTATTTCTAAATTACTCTTCATACACTAAAGTCCCAGTGTGAAATTTAGATGGTAATTAACTCCCTCACTTTCACAGATTACAAAATGAGAATTTGGACACTTATTTCAGATGGAAGCAAAAACAGGATCTCTTGTACTCAGACAAAATATCTATTCTGAGCTACTCTATAACATCAGYTGAATAGAGACGGCAAGACTCCAGAAATTTCTAAACCCAGATCAATGTGAAGTAAACTGYCTTATTTCCCATAATCAGACTACAAGAAGGTTTTTGTTTCTCTGGTCATGTTTCCATCCCAAATTATGCAACTCTACAGCTCATGTCCAGAATAGTCACATCTCAAAAACACACATCTTTGGCATTTAAGAAGAGCTGGCAATCAGTACTTGCTTTCTTAATTCATTTTCTACTACAGCAAAGCATAGCCATGAACAGCACTAATGGGTGTTTGCAAACTGTAAAATACAAACTTTTAAAACATCATACATTTTTTCCCTATGTCCTATAGTTTTGGGAGGAGGATATAATTTATACTTTTTGAACTTCATAGCTAGCACTTGCAATTCTACAAAAACACTTCATGACCAATCATTACAGAAGAAATGAGGCCAGCTCCCCCAAAACCCACCAAACTCAAAAATGGAAAGACCRTGAGACATACCTTTAGGATGGTTTGATTCATAAACCTGTGGTGTTTTAAAGGACTGAGGTTCAGAACATGGAACATTCTTAGACTCCACTACAGGAATTGTGTCTCTCATGTGCTTGGATGGGGTGCTTTCATCTCTGCTCCCACTCAACCCCTGTACCTTTGGAGAGAGTGTCACTAGTTCTTCACTATGTTGTAATCTCAAGGATTCTAAATGTRCATTTGCCGGGTTAATTTTTTCTATGTGCCTGGCATCATTAATATGTAGTCCATTGGCTTGCAACAGTACTTTTGTTTGATTAGCAACTGAGGTTTTGAATAAGGTACTGGATTCTACACTGCACGAGCTTGCGCGACTCACGGGAGATACACCAGCAGAATGGCCAGTACTATGCACAGTATCTGTCTCCCTCGCAGGAGCAGCAGCGGGATTAAAGAACATCTGAGAGGTAGAGACATCGTGGCCAAAATCCTCTGCGAGCAGTGCCCCATGCCCATTGCTGGGCAGGGCATCAGCCTCTGAAACAGAGTCCTCGGTCAGMGCGACAAAGTCCGAGGGGGTCTGGGCAGCGGTGAGGTCAGCCGAGAGCAGCGGGGACTGCAGGGAGCTGCCCATGCACTCTGTCGTCTCAGCCGAGCACGGAGGAGACGACTTAGCCATCACAGGTTCACTTTCCACGTAGGATTTAACTTCCAGCACACACCTGGGCTGCTGCACAGAGGAAACCGACTGACTCTCTGGAACTGCTTTGGAAAATTTGTAGTGTGATGAGAAAGATTTAGTGAGAAGTTTCCGAGTGGACTGTTTGACAGAATATCGGCTCTGCTCTTCTGCAAAGCCTGAATCATCACCCTCATTCTTCCCAGAGCTTATGCAGTTTATGAAGACATTCTTATTGGCTGAATGCTCCTTTCCCTTTTCAAAATCGTCTGTCAAAGAYCTCGTTATCTTCTTGTTCCGTGAGCTGCCGAAGCCAACTGAATGCCTTCCTCTGCTCTTTATGTGTTCGTCTAAGCTGAGTTTTTGAAAAGTGCTAAGAGAGGACTGGGCACCATTGGAGATGTTAACATTTTGACTCGCTGAGTCAGGCTTCTGCTCGCTCCCTTTCTTGTTGTGGAAGCTAATGGAAGGAGTGCGGAAAATACTCCGKCGCTTTCCTGTGCTCCCTGAGCTGGAGTTGGTGCTGGATGGGGAGGAGGTGTGGACACCRATGGCATTGGCAGAAGAAGGCGAGGAGGGAAGGGAGTCGTGTCTCCGGCTAACGCTCCTCCTGAATATTGGCAACCGAGATACAAGAGTCGATCGTCTGGACCCCGAGTCCCCCATCAGGGCACAAAGGGTCCGTGGTTCTTCACAGCCAATAAAATAACCTGGCATGAGAGAAAAATAAGGGAAGAGGGGAAGGAAAATAAATTATTCAGCCTCAAGGACCACTCAAACAGATTCTTCAGTCAGCCTAAACACATGAGAAGTCAACATCAATTTGTTGCACACACATTACTGAAGACTTTTAGAATTTCAAAGCAATATTCAGTAGGCAGCACTGAAAACTCAGCAASTCAGCGAAGATGTGTCTCAAAACATTCTACAGTTAAAAGGCACAATTTAATATATAGCATTGTACAGCACAGATTACACTGGGTTACAGTATAAAATCTAAATGCTGAAAAACAAATATATCACCCAAATGTCCTTGTTTTGTAAGTTCTTCAGACAAGTCTTATAAACYGTAAGCTCTCTTAGAAGACACTTGATTTTTTTATTAGCTGAGTAGAACAAATCATATTTTGTATTTCCAGATTTTTGCAAGAAAGAAGGACTTAAATTTTCCAATCTTTACTGAACTCTCAGTTGGATTTTAATTACTTAATGTGCTTCTGTTAAAGGCTATAAGTATCACTTTGCAGTACAGAAGATGACAGAATTGCAGTCCAGCCAAAATATGCAACACCAAAAATTTTTATTAAAGAACTACTAGTTCAAGGAATTTATTGTCAAAATATGGGATCACATTTCTAGATTTGAACTTTAATATTTCCTTTGAACACTTCTCTGAAATTCTACCACAGCCTATTTGCTTATAATTAGCTGATTTTTCATGTTTTTTTGAAATTAGTGAGAAGTGTTTCATGCACAATAGTTAAGCAATAAAAACTTATTTTGATCAACACTGTAGATATACTGGAAGAACATTAATCTTTATGATGTATACCAGTTCTATCTCCTTTTTGCTCTTGTTATAATAAAGTACCACTGGAAAGACAGGACCACAGAGCGAGAGAGCAATAAAAACAGGTCATATATAATCACAAGACCATGAGAGGCTGTAGGAATAATGCCTGAATGTAACTTCATGAGCTGCTGGTGTGTTCAGCACATTAAAATAAAAAAACAAGTCATTTATCTATACAATGTTTGTGTGACAAGTGCAAAAACAAAGTAATTCATCTAAAGAACAATTTAATATATGTTATGTGGCTACAATGAGTATCTATAAGCAATATAAATCCTTAGTGTATACATACACACACATACATATGTAAGTGGAAGCAGAATATTTAAGTTGTAATAAATSTACATATATGTTACATAACCATGAAAGAAAGGGTAAGTAAGTTCAGAGACTGTTTCTGACTAGACATTGGACTGCACTGTTTTGTTGTTAACATTTTATTTTAGATGCTAGTACAGCTCCAGTCTGAACATGCAGCACCAAGCAGCTGCACTATTCACAAGCACCAGGAATCAATACGCAATTTTGTAGTTTAGGATGAGAAAAACAGCTTGGGAATAGTCACTAATTGCTACAAGTCATTGATGATCTCTGATGGCAAGCTAAAGCCTGACACAGACAATGCCCAGGGTTCTGTGACTGAAACCCCAATTTGAATTCAGCCTGACTGGGGCAAAACTGACAACACAGGAGTACACAGAGTTACCAGAGGAACTTTACGTCCACCAACGAACTGAAGCAAGGCAGCTGTTCCCTTTCACTGACAGGTATGAAAGCTGGCATACAGAGCACAGGGTTGGAGCAGCTGAAGAGGAGGCAGTRCAGAAAACGAGGCCCTGTGAGCTCCCACAGGAGCTGGTACTATTTATCCCAGTTTATTCACCTGTCCACATCTCTTCCTACTGAGAATGGCCGTTCAAAAGCTGCATGAAAGCCCCTCCATCCTTCCTCTTCAGCCTCTCTGGCTTCTTCAACCACTGCAAGACCTAACTGTGTTTGGGTTTCTTTGTTGCAGGCTTACTGCTGCATATGGATAAGCACACACACAAGATTTTTAGACTGAGTGGGTTCTTCCTGTATTTTAAGGAGAGATCGTAATTGCTAAAAAAAAGATTTTGGAATGCACTTTGAAAAAAATACTTTGTTGTAAATCTGTTACATCTCTATAGAYATTTTACAACAGTATAAAACATTTGCCGTCACTGTTCTCTCTCCTGCCCACAACTATAATTGTCAGGTCACTGAAGAACAAGCCATCCTAATTTATAATTACGACATTTTCCAAGCTGAGAGCAGAAGTAAGCAGAAAACTGAGCAAAAAGCACACTCTGTAACTTGTACTGGAACTACAAAGGCTGTGTCTAAATAGTAGAGATTATTCCTAAGGAATAAGGATTGACCGTGAGTAAACACCGCCTTGGCTTTCCAGGTAGCAATAAATGTTAATAGAATACATTGCCTCTAAGGCAGATAACAAAATGACATTTATTCAGTGATTCTTCCTCTCCTGTCCCTTGAAGGAAGAACATAAACTGTCAGCATTCTTCTTATTGTCTAAGCAGCAGAAATCCTCACCATCAAATATGAGTGAAGAATAATATACTGTTCTTTCTAGCTATCAGGACATTTTTTAAAACATATGTAATTGTGTACATGCATGTGTATATATACATATATGAATTCTTATGTGCATATACATTTTGTATACAAAGTTTGAATACTTTGAATCTCATTAACATTTTAATAATGTTTCTAATATTCCTCACAGATATCATTCATATATATATATATATACACACACATTTTGCACTGTTAAACTCCCAAAGTTTAGTACTGAGTTGAAGTGACAACTTTTCTACTTGCAAAGAAAGAAAAATTAGTAAGTATTTCAAGACAGCAATACTTTCAGAAACTAATGAAATCTGATCTTTCATTGATCTTTTTGCTTACTGCAGAGGAGTTATAAATGCCATAAATGCTCTAGCAAAATAGGTGGCGTTTCCCTTCTGTTTCCATGTTTAACATKATTATTTATACTTACAACTTTACAGCAGTAACTCTTACAGACTGAAATTCACTCCAGCTACATTTCCTYTATAAAACCATTCATTTTCTTTATCTAAAATCCTCATCCCTATTGGCATAATTCTTAAACTCTTCAACAAAGGAAAAAAGAAAATAGGAGAGAAAGTCACCTTTGTTTAGGACAAAATATATTTTGCATCATTATCACATAATGAGAACACTCAAGGAAACAGTCACAGTATTCTGTATGGAGATGTGAATTTTCATCAATTACTTTGTAATATTTTCTAATTCTAAAATCCAGTTATTGCTGAAACTAAAGTGCTTACTTCGTGCTGCACAAGACACTAAATTTTGCCTTTTATGGAATGGATTTTTGATGCACATTTTTGCAGCTGGCATTACACAAGACAGAGTTTGATATAATGAAAGAAAATGAGTGAGACACTTTGAAAACAATTGCAGAATAATGGTTTCAATAGCATACTTCAAAATCTTCTCTCTCTCAAGAGCTTGGCTATAGCTCACAGTTTCTGAACTCCTTGGCTCAGACCAATGAAAATGAGCAACAAAGTGTGAACAAACTATCTTCCCTCTTAACAGAAATTTAAGTTAATCAGATGGAAATAGTTTCCTTTCATGTTGGTCTGCACCAAGATGTTGCAAAATGCAAACTGATCTCAAAAATATCTCAAAGTCACATATTTAATTGCCACAGAAAACCAAGAAGTCAGGATTTTTTTTTTTCTTTGGCTTATTTTTCCCCTGCAGGAGACCTTTGGAAGAACCATACAACTAATATTCTAATAGTAGGGCTTTATCTTGCCTATAGAAGTTGTCTGAGTATAAAAAACACAGAAGGTAAAAATTATTGTTGTTAATTATTGTTGTTAAAAATTATTGTTGTTAAAAATTATACTGTATTGTATATATTACTGTATCCTGCCAAAAAAGACAAATTGCTCAACTTTCAAACAGTGAATGTGACTGCAGGAAAAAACCCACAAGTGTTAAACCAGGAAAAATAGTCAAAATATGACACTAATATCTCCCAGAGTAATCTACTCCATCAATTTACCAGCTGAAAAATAAAAACCAGTATTTTTTTTTTATTTCCGCTTCTGCCAAGCTCCTATTCTCACAAGTGTGCCAGAACTGAGTGCGTTCAATAAACAGCAATTCCTCATGCTTCTGGTTTTTCCTGAACCCCAGTAGATGGAGCCACGGATCTACTTTCTCAATAACTGCAAATAGGAAAAAGCAAGTCAGTATCTTTTACATTTCTCACTGCCTTTGAGGCAAAAATTTAGGAATCAAAATAATTTGTGTCACCAAAAGACAATATATGCTTATTCAACACTGTAATGTGTAGGTGAGTGTAAACATTCCCTTTATAAATAAACCAACCTGCTATTACCTCTCAATATTTTCTAAACAAAGCTTTCCTAAAGGTGTTCTCCTTAAAGATGCACTTCCTAGAAATGTCAAATCCACACAAAGAACAGAACTGAATTAGCTGTCAAAGTTTAAATTGGCAGATGACATGACACCAAGGTGGAAGGCTTCAAACCCTAAATCAGAGCAGAATATCAATATGTACTTGGATGATTTTTAGGCTCCACTCATGATTTAAGGATGATGAGACATTTTCTTTATTGCTCTGAACCTGGAACCATACAATAAAGCACAGAGGACTAAGATGTGCATCTTACACTGTGCATATCCTCCCTCCATCCCTCACAAGAGCACTACCATACAGCAGGAGGTAAGGAACCACATCACAGACACAGCCTCTATAGACCAGCTGGCTCCAGCCTTACACAGAAATTTAATTTGCCCCAGGATACTACAAATAACCACAAAACTACATGAAAATAAATATTTATAATTGTCGGTGAGTCAACAGAAGTCCTGATGCAGTTGATGCGCTTGTAAGAAGCAAAGCAATCCTTTAGTCCACATCATATAGCCTGTGGCTCCCACCCAAACTGTTGACCTTCCATCATCTGGATTCTAGCACTGTATTGCCTTCAGCTTTTGAGCATTACTGCCTTCAATATAGTTCTAATTCTATTCCAATATTATTAGTTTCTCTAGTACGTTTGTGACTTG